GAGATTCCACAGATACGATTCCACAGACGAGATTCCACAGACGAGATTCCACAGACGAGATTCCACAGACACAATTCCAAAGATACGATTCACTGACACGATTCTATAAATACAATTCCATAGACACAATTTTATATACGCGATTCCACAGACAGGATTCTATAGACACGATTCCACAGACACGATTCCACAGACAAGATTTCACAGACGCGATGCTACAGGCACGATTCCACAGACGAGATTCCACAGACACGATTCCAAAGATAAGATTTCACAGACACTATTCCGCAGACACGATTCCACAGACACGATTCCACAGACAACATTCTACAGACGCGATTCTACAGACATGATTCCAAAGACGAGATTCCACAAACGAGATTCCACAGACAAAATTTTATATACGCGATTCCACAGACAGGATTCTCCAGACACGATTCCACAGAGAAAATTCCACAGACGCGATTCTACCTAGACGATTCCACAGACGAGATTCCACAGACACTATTATACAGACACGATTCCACAGACACGATTCCACAGTCAAGATTCCAAAGACACGATTCTACAGAGACAATTCCACAGTCACGATTCTAAATATACGATTCACTGACACGATTCCATAGACATTATTCCACAGACACGATATCATATACGCAATTACACAGACACGATTCTACAGACACGATTCCACAGACGAATTTCCACAGAAGTGATTCCACAGATACGATTCCACAGACGAGATTCCACAGACGAGATTCCACAGACGAGATTCCACAGACACGATTCCAAAGATACGATTCACTGACACGATTCAATAGACACGATTCCACAAACACTATTTTATAAACGTGATTCCACAGTCACGATTCTACAGACACGATTCCACAGACACGATTCCACAGACGCGAATCTACAGACATGATTCCACACATGAGATTCCACAGAAGAGATTCCACAGATACGATTCCACAGACGAGATTCCACAGACGAGATTCCACAGACACAATTCCAAAGATACGATTCACTGACACGATTCTATAAATACGATTCCATAGACACAATTTTATATACGCGATTCCACAGACAGGATTCTCCAGACACGATTCCACAGAGAAAATTCCACAGACGCGATTCTACCTACACGATTCCACAGACGAGATTCCACAGACACGATTCTACAGACACGATTCCACAGACACGATTCCACAGTCAAGATTCCAAAGACACGATTCTACAGAGACAATTCCACAGTCACGATTCTAAATATACGATTCACTGACACGATTCCATAGACATTATTCCACAGACACGATATCATATACGCAATTACACAGACACGATTCTACAGACACGATTCCACAGACGAATTTTCACAGACACGATTCCAAAGATACGATTCACTGACACGATTCTATAGACACGATTCCACAGAAACAATTTATTATACCCGATTCCACAGACACGATTCTACAGACACGATTCCACAAAACTAATCCACAGACACAATTTTATATATGCGATTCCACAGACACGATTCTACAGACACAATTTTATATACGCGATTCCACAGACACGATTCTACAGACACGATTCCACAAAACGAATCCACAGACACAATTTTATATACGCTATTCCACAGACACGATTCTACAGACACGATTCCACAGACACGATTCCACAGACACGATTCCACAGACACG